GGATGAAAGGGGAGGGCGAAGACCATGTCGCCACCCTGCAAACCTCCTTGATAGAGGCCTGTGTGGCCCACGCCGCGGAAGTTGCAGCGCTGCAAGTTGAATGCGCTGTGATTTGTCCTGGTGTTGGTAGAGAAAGCGATTGGTACACTTCCGCAATACAAAGTTTGATCCACCTGCCTATGGTTGAGGCGGACACCTTCTGTCCACTAGAGGTGTGGTGAAAGGAAACGAAGAGAGCTTCTGATTTGCGTAAGGGTGCCGTTCGTCTGATATAATGACGTAGTGCCCTCCGGACATCCAGTGTGTGCCACTGTTGTTCCAGGGCATGAGATGGGTTGGCACAGAAGTCCGGTAGGACTATCTCTTGGGCCCTATGGAACAGGGTGTTAACCTTGGGGATAAAGGTTGGGTCCAATCAGAGGACCACCCGTCCCAATGGAAGGTGCAGAGGTCCTCCCTGACTGACAGGGCCGCGAGCTCGGAAATGCGTCTGGCCGAGGTTATGGCAACCAGAAAGGTAACCTTGAGGGACAGGGCCCTCAGAGTGCAAGACTTGATGGGTTCGAATGGTGCCTTGGTGAGAGCCCGAAGGACCCGTGGTAGTTCCCATGAGGGATATCTGTGGACCACGGGTGGCTTTGCCTGGGATGCGCTCTTTAGGAAGGCGCGAATCCTGGGGTGCTGTGCCAAGGGAACTGCATTGGCGCAGGTGAGTAGAGTGGCTAACGCCGCTACCTGCCTGCGAATGGTATTTGGTGCTAGGCCCCTGTCCAGGCCATCGAGCAAGTATTCTAGTATATTCGGAACTGTTAGGCCCGAGACATCGAGTGTCCGCTTCTCACACCAGTTGCAGACATTTCTCTTATGTGGAGTCATAAATGCGGTTGGTTGTCGGTCGGCGGGATGCCTGGATCATGGAGATTACTCTTGGCGAGTACGACTCCCCGCTCAAGATTTGGCGTTCAAGTGCCAGGCGGCTAACTGCAGCCATTGGGGTTCTGGGTGTTGTAGATCCCCTTGGCTGAGTGACACCTGGTCCGGGGGTATCCTCCATGGTGGGGACCCGGAGAGATTCACCAGGTCCGTGAACCACGGTCTTTGTGGCCAGTGTGGGGCTACGAGTATGATCTCCGCTCGTTCCTGCAGTGTCTTGCGGATGGTTGCCGGGATCAGCGGAAGAGGAGGAAACGCTTAAAGTAGCCCCCTTGGCCATGGGCAACGTAGGGCATCTGTTTCCTCCGCCCCCGACAATGGGAACCTTGAAAAGAACCTTGGGAGTTGGGCATTCATCGAGGATGCAACAAGTCTACGACTGGTCGCCCGAACCTCTGTGTTACCTCCACGAATAAGTCCATTCGGCGTGATCCAAGGTCGACCTGCTTAGGAAAACCGCTTGTCTGTTTGCCTCCCCCGAGATATGCTCGGCCCTGATGGAGGCGAGGTTTTTCTCCGCCCAATCTCCCAGTGCTTGGGCCTCTGTCATGAGAGCTCTGGCTTGGGTTCCCCCCTGCCTGTTCATGTGTGCCTTTGCGGACACGTCTGTGAGAACTAGTATGTGTTTGTTCTATCCCAGCCTATAGCCGTCCTTGTTAAAAGCACAAGGACCAAACCCCTGTTGATAAAATAGGATGGAGACTTAAAACAAAACAAACCCCTTTTAATATAGGTGACAAACCTGCCAAATAGTCCAGAAACAAAAGCAGCAAAACACAATCGAAATGGAGGAAATTGTCCACATGAAACACGATGCAAACAGAAAAGTAGTCACCGGCAAGACGAACAGAACACGATCCCATGAAGTACTTTGCAACGGTTGCCTTCAGCAACCAGCACCGCCCACACCTCCTCTTTTTATACAACAGTCCCAAGGCGTTGCCTCTCAGTGCCTTCTCCTTTTTCCCTGGAGTTGTCGTATTGACTGCTGGTGATCTGCTCTCGCTAATTGCCGGCGTGTACGAGCATCAATCAGCATGTCCATCAGGTGTGAGTCCTCCGAGTCTGACTCATTCTCCTCACACAGCTGAGCATCAGGAACACGACTGGAGGGCCCAGGCTCTTCATCAAACCGTGAGTCTTGTTTCATCAGAGCCTCCCTCTGACCCTGATGGCCCTTCAAATGCCTCCTCCACCTCCTCAGATTCCCCAGACTCAGCTGTTGGGAACACAGGCTGGCACGGAATCACGACACTATCCCGCATCGCAGGGCCCTTCCCCCGGGTCTGCCGATCTGGATGCGGTCGGGATGGGAATTGGTCATGAAAGGCGGTCACCAAGGCAGGAGCATGAACGGTGGTCGCATCCTCCCAGATGAACTCCTCCAGTCCATAGCCTTTCCATTCAATCAGGTACTGGAAGCGGCCTTTCATCCAACGGGAGTCCCGAATGCTGGCAACCTCGTACTCGGGAGCACTGTCTCCATCACGTTCCAGTGGGGGAGGTTCGGCTCGGCGGAGTGGACACGCCTGTTGCTCAGGGACCAACAGAGATCGGTGAAAGACCGGATGTACCCGCAGGGAACGTGGCAGAGTTAAGCGATAGGCGACTGGATTGATAACAGCCTTGATTGGGAACGGTCCTACAAATCGGTGGTCTAATTTCTTGGCTGGCCGGGTTGACGGTAGGTTCCTGGTGGACAGCCATACCCGATCTCCCACTGTTAGTGGAGGCGTATCCTGCTTCGACCGATCAGCAAACCTTTTGTAGTCAGCCTTGGCCTTCTCTAACTGTCGCTGCACCAATCGATGGATCGCCTGTAACTCTGCCATTTAGTCGTTCGCTGGTGGTACCGGTACGTCTAGTGGGGAAAGAGGGAAAAACCGAGGGTGATAGCCCACATTGGCTAAGAATGGTGTCATCTGCGTGGAGGTGTGCTGTGAGTTATTGAACACAAACTCAGCCACTGCCAGATCTCAGAACCACTGAACTATATTTTTCAAAGATCCTGGAGCACAGGGGAACTACCAGAGGACTGGAAAAGAGCTGATGTAGTTCCCCTCTACAAAAAAGGGAAAAAAATGGACCCAGGAAATTACAGACCTATCAGCCTGACCTCAATACCTGGGAAGATCCTGGAAAATCAAACAACAAATCAACGAACACCTAAAGGCAAACAAAGTCATTACTTAAAAGCCAACATGGGTTTGTCAAAAATAGATCATGCCAGACCAATCTTATTGCATTCTTTGACCAAGTGACAAAATTAGTGGATCAGAGGAATGCTGTGGACATAATTTACTTGGACTTCAGTAAGGCATTTGATAAAGTAGATCACAACCTACTACTTGACAAGATAGAAAAATGTGGGGTAGAAAGCACCACCACCAGATGGATCCGTAGCTGTCTGACCGGCCGTACTCAGTGTGTGGTCCTGAATGGAACCGCATCTACATGGAGGGAAGTGTGTAGTGGGGTGCCCCAGGGCTCTGTTCTGGACCCAGTGCTCTTCAATATCTATATAAACAATTTGGACGAGGGGATAGATGGAGAACTCATCAAATTTGCAGACGACACCAAGCTGGCAGGAATAGCCAACACTCCAGAAGACAGGCTTAAGATACAGAAGGATCTGAATAGACTTGAACACTGGGCGCTATCTAACAAAATAAAATTCAATGGTGAAAAAAGCAAGGTTTTACATTTAGGCAAGAAAAACCAAATGTACAGGTATAGTATAGGGGGTACCTTGCTCAATAGTAGTAACTGTGAGAGGGACCTCGGAGTCCTAGTGGACAATCACCTAAATATGAGCCAGCAGTGTGCTGCAGCTGCCAAAAAAGCCAACACAGTGCTAGGCTGCATTAACAGAGGGGTAGAATCAAGATCACGTGAAATATTAATACCACTTTACAATGCCTTGGTAAGGCCACACTTTTAATACTGCATCCAGTTTTGGTCACCGCGATGTAAAAAAGATGTTGAGATTCTAGAAAAAGTACAGAGAAGAGCAACAAAGATGATTAGGGGACTGGAGGCTAAAACATATAAGGAATGGTTGCTGGAATTGGGTATGTCTAGTTTAATGAAGAGAAGGACGAGGGGGGACATGATAGCAGTGTTCCAATATCTTGGGCTGCCACAAAGAAGAGGGTGTCAAGCTATTTTCCAAGGCACCTGAAGGCAGGACGAGAAGCAACGGATGGAAACTAAGCAAGGAGAGAAGCAACCTAGAACTAAGGAGAAACTTCCTGACAGTTAGAACAATTAACCAGTGGAACAACCTGCCTCCAGAAGCGGTGAATGCTCCAACACTGGAGATTTTTAAGAAGAGATTATCATCATCATCATCATCATCATCATCATCATCGTCCTTGGATCTACTTAATTGTCTGTTGTGCCTTAATCATAGGAATATCTTTTTTATTTCTTTGTAAACTCCTTGTAGTTTTAATTGCTCATTGGTAATAACCTTGATCATCTAATATTAGTTAATAAGCAGCTAATTTTCTCCAAATTGCTGTTATAAGATGTCTCTTTTTGTGCAACATACATACACCATTTTGGCACTGTCATAACTCATAGAAGGATGATATGCAGATAATAACATAAGCTATAACAATCCTTCCAGTTGCTTCATTTATTAGCAGATTGATATCTTATGCATCCATGAAAATTGAATGCTATACAAAAGAACATAAGGCTGATTGCTGAAAGTGGTACAAAATGTAGCACACTACATACAGTATGTGATTTCAGTGATAAGGATTGAGATTTTATGAAAGCTGAATTTTTGATAGAAAATATATTAATAGAACAATATGTTTATTGTATTTTAAGTGTACAGGGCTATTTTTTAATAAATTAAAGTTTGAGATTAATAAATTATAAATATTCTGTGATGGATATAAATACCTTGAATTGCTATTGAATGCTCATAATTTATTCAGAAACCAAAAATGAAGGAAACCTAGAAAGAGGAATAACTAGAACTGCTTCCTTAAATATTTATTGGCCAATTCAGATTAAGATTAGACACAATTCTACTTTATTTATTTCTTTTGCAGACATTATCCAAAGCAGTCCTTCACTATGGTGGCTGACACTCCAGAGAATCTGCGCCTTAAGCAGCAGAGTGAACTTCAGAGTCAGGTAAGGCTGCAGGTTGCTGTTAGCACTTGCATTCTACCAAGCCATACTCAAAGAAGACTTTAATAAAGAAGTCAATATTTTAAAAAGAGGACAAGGCTTGATGCTTAAAAATCAGAGCTGCTTTATTTTTCTCATATTACCAGAAGAAAAAAATATTTCAGAAATGAAGTAAAATATAAGCTGTCAACTCTACAAGCATATAACACTTATGATACAACACATGAAGGATAGTATTAAAACTAGCTCAGGAATCTAGAACATGAAAGTACAGTTTTGAAAGTCCTTATATACCTACTAAGAGTGGGAAGGATGAATCAAGGTATAAACATGGCAGATAGTTTAAGTTATGAAGAAGTAGGGTGATGTGTGCAGAGATAAAATAGCATGGAGTAATAGGATTGAGAAGATTCTCAACCTGAAAGAGGAAATCCACTATTCAGTGTTGAGGACTTTAGCTTGTGGATTCTCAAGAGTAGCAATAGTGGAAGCTCTGGCTCCATTAGTGCTTTGCCTCAGTCTCATTTATAAATGTGTAGAGTCATGCCATGTTGCACAGAGCAAAACTAGATAAAGAACTGTAAAACGTTTTGCATATTAGGAATGCAAAGTATGCATTTGAATGCAGAAATAAATTCCTTATAGTGTTAATAAAATCCAATTTTATTCCTAAATCATCATACAAGATTTATCTGGATGTTGTTCAGTACTAGGCTTAGTTAGCCAAACCATCTGTATTTATATTCTTTTGCAATAAAGATAAGAATGCATGTTAAAATCTGCATATCAAACAAGAAATAGTCTGGTTACATTTAAAGGCTAGCAGAGTACAGTAGCCCTCAACTTACGATCACCATTGGGAATAAAATGGAAATTTTGTCATAGTTGGGTGCAGTTATAAAGTGTGACCAGACCTGATTTTACAACTGTTTTTACTATGTTCATAAGGGAATCACATGATCATTAAATGACTCCAGCTTCCCCAATTGACTGTTTTTGTTGAAAACCAAACGGGAAAGTCATATATCGTGATCATGTGACTGCAGGATGTTGCAACTAGTTGGAAATGCAAGCCAGTTGCCAGGTGCTTGAATTGTGTTCATGTGACATGTGACATTGGGAGTGCAGCAGTTATAAGTGTGAGGATGGGTCAGTGATGGCGAACCTTTTACAGACCGAGTGCCCAAAAACTGCCCCCCCGCTCCGCCTCCCACCCTGCCTGCTCCACCCCTGCCCACCCCCTGCCCCGCCCACCCACAGGGCCACGCACCGCCTCCATGGCCCACTGCAGCAGATCACCCAGGCAGCCCTGCAGTGCCATGGCAGCCACGCCCTCCACCCACACCCCACAGCATCATCTGCATGCTATGGGACGTGAGGGTGAAGTCTTGTCCCTGCTGCCCGGCTATGTCCTTGGCTGTGCTGCTCTATGCGGGCCGTGCCCAGGGGCAACTCTCCTCCAGGGGAGCTGCTGGTGAGGAGGGGGCCACGGGGGGAGGTGGGGCTGGGGCAACGGTGCGCTTGCCCACAGAGAGGGCTCCGAGTGCCGCCTCTGGCATGCCTTTGGCATGCCACTACTGGGATAGGTTATAAATCACTTTTTCCTAGGACATTGTAACTTTAAATGAGCGGTCATAAGCCAAGGACTACCTGTATTCCGCTTATAAAATTTACTGCATATATTGGGTAAATTATTGTCTTTCATTGTTAGATGCAGGTAGCTGCCTCATGCTGAACTAACTGCCAATATAGTTAATTTTCCCCTCTAAACCTCCCACTTAAAGATCATATTATAAACTGCTGTGTTCTATGTGCTAGGAAGGTTTCTCATAAAACCTTCATTTCTTCATTTATGGTGTGCTAACAGTGAGAGAACTTTGTTTAGTGAGGAAGAGGAAGCAGCTATAAAGCAAATAGATTTGATAGAGATTTCTTTTTCAGCGAGTGGATCCCTGCAGCAATGGAAGAATATTTTACAAGCTCTAACAACACACTACATCTCTAAAGTTCTTTATATAGGTTATAATTACTTCACTTTTTGTCTTTTTTGATCAAGCCTCAATAATTTTGCCATTAATAACTTTCTCTGATTTAAAAGAACGTTTAGAAGTAGCTGACCATAGAACTTGTAATTATAGGCTTGTTAATATACATTATCCTATATGCATTTCTTGCTCTGTTTTTATAGTGTCCCTTTCATATAAAACTTCCTTATTTTTCCCCTTGTTTCCCTATTCCCTTTGTTCTAAATGTAAATCCAGACGTAAGCTGAAACTTGGTGAATGATTAGACAAAGTCATTGATGCTCTAAGCTCCTGATTATGATTTAAAATTTTGAGCGCATGCTAGTAGATGTTCTCTACCAGCAAAAATTCTTGGATGCGGGTAATTGCAAGTCAGAAAACAACTGACTTTATTAAAAAGCTTTATTAAAAAGCTTCCCTGATGCTCCCTATTATCCCTAGCTTGCTTTTGGTTATTTTTTTCTCCAAGGTATGTGGATAACCTTCTGAACAAAGCATTGAGATCCAGTCATCCAATATTCTTATTTTTGAAGTATACAATAAATATGTGGGACATGAAGACAGATCAGAACAATGAGTAAAGTCCACTTTCTATTACTTATCCCTGTGCTAGCTAAATAAATATGGTTTTATTCAGTTCAGTTATGTTATTTATCAATTATTTCTCTCCAGTTCTTCCTCTTTAAACCTGCCTTCTAATTATATTTGATACTCCATATTCTGTTTATTTTGTTTTATAGCTGGATTTCATGTCCCACAAGCCCTGTTGTTAATGAAATGTTGATTTAACCCTGGGAGAGGACTGAGTACATGCTCTTGATCATTGTTTGCAAATTCATGGAAATATTTTTAGTTTTCATAAGTGCTCTGCTCTTGACATGTTAAACCTCATATAGATCTGCTTTCAGGAAAGAGGCTGAACTTTAAGTTTCTGTAGCTGAGTGTCCTCACTGCGGATCCAGGGTATGAGCATTATGACAAGTAACTATATTTTTCTGGGGATGCCTTTATTACAGAAGCTATTATATATATTGCCATAAATTAAATTGTAGGAGAGAAATAACTGAGAAATAGTTCTCTTTTATCTTTCCTATACTGTTGCTGTGTAGTATCTGACAGACTAATGAGAAGCGAAATACCTTTGTTCAAATATGATTTGTGTACTACCTGATTTGATCATTGCCCAATGCTGGTTTTTCATTGGAAGATTAATGTGATTCACTGTTATCTTAAAATAACTGATTTTTACTTCCATTTCCTCTGTTCAATTGTGGTGGCTGGAGAAATTAATAATTCAATAAAGTGTTAAGGTATCTTGGAGGAGATCATTGCAGAGCACAGCAACATTCTCTTTATGTGATCATACCAAAGCTTAGTGAGGATAGTTGAATGTGCCTATTTATTTTGTATTTAAGTACCGGTATTTACATTGTTAGCAAATTCATTACAACTTTTCCTCCTAAAAACAGAAATATGAAATCCCATAAAATAATTCACATTAGCTCCCACTAACCTTACCCCTCACTAATAAGGGCATTAGTAAAAGACTGCTTTTGTTTTATTTTTGTGCTTTTATTTTCCATTGCTATACTCAGCCAGTTTTTCATAGCCGCTTCTCATATTTTCATTTGGTCTGTAAGGTAGATGCTAAATGGCTTTTTCTTTCACAATGCTTTGTTATATTTGTAGATTGTTTTGAATTTGGAAATACATAATATACAAATGATATGTAGTACAAATGGTTGAGTTCAAGTAACAATACAGTGAGGGGAAAAATTATTTGATCCCCAGCTGATTTTGTACGTTTGCCCACTGACAAAGAAATGCTGAGTCTATAAAATTTTAATGGTAGGTTTATTTTAACAGTGAGAGACAGAATAATAACAAAAAATCCAGAAAACCATATTTCAAAAAAGTTATAAATTGATTTGCATTTTAATGAGTGAAATAAGTATTTGATCCCCTATCAATCAGCAAGATTTCTGGCTCCCAGATGTCTTTTATACAGGCAACGAACTGAGATTAGGAGCACTCTCTTAAAGGGAGTCCTCCTAATCTCAGCTTGTTACCTGTATAAAAAACACCTGTCCACAGAAGCAATCAATCAATCAATCAGATTCCAAACTCTCCACCATGACCAAGACCAAACAGCTGTCCAAGGATGTCAGGGACAAGATTGTAGACCTACACAAGGCTGGAATGGGCTACAAGACTATTGCCAAGCAGCTTGGTGAGAAGGTGACAACAGTTTGTGCAATTATTCACAAATGGAAGAAACACAAAATAACTATCAGTCTCCCTCGGTCTGGGGCTCCATGCAAGATCTCACCTCATGGAGTTTCAATGATCATGAGAACGGTGAGGAATCAGCCCAGAACTACACGGGAGGATCTTGTCAATGATCTCAAGGCAGCTGCGACCATAGTCACCAAGAAAACAATGGGTAACATACTACGCCATGAAGGACTGAAATACTGCAGCACCCACAAGCTCTCCCTACTCAAGAAAGCACATGTACAGGCCTGTCTGAAGTTTGCCAATGGACATCAGAATGATTCAGAGGAGAACTGGGTGAAAGTATTCTGGTCAGATGAGACCAAAATCGAGCTCTTTGGCATCAACTCAACTTGCCCTGTTTGGAGGAGAAGGAATGTTGCCTATGACCCCAAGAACACCATCCCCACCATCAAACATGGAGGTGGAAACATTATGCTTTGGGAGTTTTTTTTTCTGCTAAGGGGACAGGACAACTTCACCGTATCAAAGGGATGATGGACGGGGCCATGTACCGTCAAATCTTGGGTGAGAATCTCCTTCTCTCAGCCAGGGCATTGAAAATGGGTCGTGGATGGGTATTCCAGCAGGACAGTGACCCAAAACACACGACCAAGGCAACAAAGGAGTGGCTCAAGAAGAAGCACATTAAGGTCTTGGAGTGGCCTAGCCAGTCTCCAGACCTTAATCCCATAGAAACTCTGT